TAAGGCTGAATAATTTATGATAATAATGATGATGACAATGATTCTAAAAAGCATTTGCAATGACAGCTCCAGCAGTCAGTGCAGAGCAGGTCCAAAACAGCTGAGATAAATCAGATATAGTGTGATTGATCGTGCAGGATCTTAAAGACCCACTTTTTTTTTTTTTTTTTTTTTTTTTTTTTTTTAAACAAGGAACTCTATATTTTCATCCAGAAGGTTCTTTCCTGGCCCCCAATGTTCCCCATGTTCATAATCAACTAACAATTTATAATTTCACTGTACCACCACACCTATTCTATTGCATGTATAAAATGCATATTTATGAACTTGTTCTGATTCTATTCTATTTGTTTCTCTAACAAATACATGAGGGCTGACTTCTGTCAAGGCAAGGGCAGACAGCACAGTTGACTCAGTCTTTCAAACTTGGGTTAGTGGGAACAGTTCAAAGCAAATGAAAGGAATTTGATCCTCCTTTACACAGTGGAAATTATTCAAAAGATTGGCAAGTCCAATTAAAGTCTGAATTTGTCATGAAGACTCAAATAATGCAATATATTTTGTCTTAGTAATTTTAACAGGACTAATTTAAATCACCTATTATATAATACCCTATTTCACCTCTCTAAATTTGTTTTCACCAAGAATATCTGATTAGATTTAACATTCTATATTAATGTTACAGAATAAGAATATGTCTTCAATAGTCTCTTTCATGAATTCATATTTACATGGTACTTAATATAGCTTTTAGGTGCCAGAAAACATTTACTATAAGTTTTGTACAGTACCTTATTTCACTTATATTTACAATTAAAAGTCAGTTTATTTTTATTCTGTCTTCTAATCATCAGTATAATTTTGTTATTAAATGGGAAGAATTACGCATATTTTTAATGAGATCTGTATTGTTGTTGTTGCTTTAAACCAAGATAAAAAGTAAATCAGATAAAATATTATTTTGCTTGGTTCTGAAAGATGCATTCTATTGCCTTGCTCTGACAACAAAAGTGTTGTTTATTTGTATGCTTTTTTTTTTTTTATGGTTTATTTTGGCTATAATCGTATCAATGGCTTTTTTTTTTGAACTGAACAGTTTCTTGAAACACTTCTAAGTAAGATCTTAAAAGATAAGTTTTTAAGATACAGTTCTAAATTTCATATCAGTTATGAAGTTGGTAGTTTTAATCTTTTTTTTTTTTTTTTTCAGAATAACTTAATAATTAATAATAATTTACTAGTAATAAAAACTTTGAAAATATATCATATTGGTCACAATTATTGTAACACATAATTTTCTAGGCTAAGAAAATTTATTGACCATCCTTGTATGTCAACAGTTTCACAGCTTTGTAAAAACACTGTGATTGGTTTCCTTTTCTACCTGTAGTTATGTTAATGATCAGATGTTCAATTTATAGGTAATAAATAACAGACTCACTTGTGATAGTTAGGGCTAACTATCTTCTGCATGGTTGAGACCATTTCCTCCTCCTATTCCATGAAATTAGTTTTCATTAAGATAAAGAATATATCATTAGGACATCAGAGGAGTTCAGTGATGCCATTAAGATTTTAGCTGTTGGCTTTTAAGAATCACAAGACCTGTTGTTTCAAAACTGAAAGGCTTTTAAAGATGAGAGAAACTGTTTCTGTTATCTTCCAGTTTTTCAAGCATCCTTTAAGAAAAACAGCAATCTCTTTTTGCAGTGTTTATGCAAAATAACTACATTTTGTCCTCAAGCAGTCATTTAATTTTCCATTTAAGTATAGAACTTTTTTTCCTGCTGTTAAAGTTGTGTGTCATCTTCCCCCCGTCCGCCCTTTTTTTTTAAGGAAGCGCATATTTTGCTGCCTTAAAGAATTGCAATTCATTTCAATCCATTGGAAAGATAGGAAATGCATTGCTGGAAAATTATATCTACACTGAAATTTAAACTCCTTTAGTTTCCTGTTTTGATCCATATCTTTCTGAAGTGATTACTATGTATATCTTTATAAATGCTCTAGTAATCTTCCAGATAAGGGTTAAATTCAAGAGCATCTATTATGTTATTTTTATATTTTTCCCAGTGATTGATTGAAATAGCGTGTTGCAAAAACCTCATAGAAAACTGAATTGGTTTTAAATATATTTTGTTTAAGGTTTTTCCATTAAGAATACTTTTGACTAAATTCCAGCTTGATAGGAAACCTTTTTAAGTTATTCAAAGAAACTAGTTCACAATGTGTTCAAAGTATTAAAAAAAAAAAAAAAAAAAAAAAAAGTAAGCATTCTCACATGAGCTTGATATGGGCTGATCCAATATTTAGAATAACTTTTTCAAGTTTTACATGTCATCACATAAGTTGGAAGAAAAAATAGTGTAAGAATGAAAATTCCTGTCCGGAAGGAAGAGGTTGTTCTTCCTGGACCTGTTAGGCATTTTTGTGGGGTCTGTTCTTTTCTTCATACATCCATAAAAGATAGTTAATTTTAAAAACACACAGGACAGCAGAAAACATTCAAGAGACATCAAAGAAGAATATAGACTGAAGAGATTAATTTAAAAAAAAAAAAAAAAACTTCAGCAGACAAGGAACTCTTAATGTGGATTATATCTTTATGTAGATATGTATCTGAGTCTCATGTAGTTTGCCAGTTACACCCATGGACATTTTTTCTTCTAAATAAGAAAATCCACACTGTCAGGGCACAGCAGACGCTGGCTACTCCTTCAGGGACAAGGAAACTAAAGTGACCCAGGACAAGTAGTGCCTACCGCAGTAGGGAACCATCATGCATGGGTTAACAATAGGGCCCATCAACAGCTATCAACAAGGCAGTTGATGAATCATGTCCAGGATGCATCCAAAGTGTCCAGTCAGGAGCAAAAGAAGGTGGAACCAGAAACAAGGCTAGGGCCTATCTACAGCACAAGTCCAAGGTCCATCAAGGAGGTAAAGCAAGGAATAGACACAACTACAGTATTGCTAAAAATAGAACAATATGCACTCAGAATTAGCTCAGATGGAGCCCCAGGCTCATAAGCAGGGTGTGAGGGAAGCTCAGGTGAGGATGGTCAGGGACATCAAGGCCTGTTAGTATGCTCAGGGCCCTGACAAAACCAAATTCCCAGAGTTAGTTGCAAAGAGATTTTTAACATTTTTCTCACTGTGGAAACAAGGGAAGACCTGGGTAGTGAGATATATTCTTCAGAGTTGTAGATGTCACGCAGGCTTAAATAAAAAAAAAAAAGCACTTGGAAATATTTGACAATAATCAGCTCTAAACAGTATGCTAGTATGCTCAGGGGAACCGTTGTATATATTAAACTTCCATTTGCCTTGTGTTATTTTCTTTCTGTTTAAAAGAAAATGTACATACAGGCTCCATTTATAGATTTGGGCGCTATTACTCCAAAGATCAATTAAGGGTAGGAAGTTAATCATACATTTGAAGTTCTGCAGAAGTGCAAGACACCATCTCACTGAGATGCTCAGGGTGAACTACGTTCAGTCCTTGTTTGGCATGCTCTGGCATCTGTATCTTGCTTGCTTACAAGAAGTTAGAAACTATACATTTCTTGTAGTCTCTGATGGGATGTTAGTAGACAGACTCAGATCAAACCTGCTTATTGAGGTAAGAATTATGGTTCACTTTGCACCCAGCTTTCCAGCCATACCCAGAAGAGACTTTTTTTTTTTAATTCTGTCAGTTATGTCATTTTGATCACATGGCATAAGGAAGAAGTGTGACCTTATCCTGCCAGTGATCAAGCATGCTTAAATGGGAGCTTCCATCTTCAGAGCATGGAAAAAAATACAGTAATGTGCTCGGGGTAATATACTGCTCCTCTCTGCTGAGTATTTGGGTGCATTGACAGTGAGACTTTTTTAACCAATGTGCAATATTTACACCAGGAAGGTTGGCTTTCCACTCAGAATGCATGAAGACCTGTTTATCCTTCATGTCTTACTTAACTGCTAAGTAGGTGGGGTTATTCCATTTATGTCTGTGTAAAGTCCATTTATTTAAGCTTTTAAAGTTTATCTTTGCAAAGGGCTGACTGTAGACTGCAAAAGCTGTAAACGTAAATTAGAAAACTGTTTCTTTAAGTATTTTGCAGGGAACTTTCTTCGGAAATAGGAGACCTGAGTTGTAAATCTCATCTCATTCTTGTGGTTAACTGTGTCCTGTGAGCCTGTGTACTGCATTCTGAACTCTGAACTGATTTTTTCATTTGTTTGTTTGTTTCTTTTTTATGAACAATAAAGATGTTTCCAGAGGACAGCAAATAGTATCTTGGAATGTAAAATATATGCAAGATTTTTTTTTTTTAATTTATTCATGTTTTTTAAAATAATGGGACGTGTGATAATTTATTTGGCTCCAGAAGGCTTTTTACACTGTTAGTAAGGATCAGCCCCTTAAATTTATTAATAAATAAATAAATAAATAAATAAAATACACTTTTCTATCCACTCAATTTCTGCAAATATAAAAAGCAGGAACCCATTGGGTGGAAAAGTGCCAGTATTCTCACAATGGTACAAATTGCTTTGTCAGTATAAGCCAGGCTTCACTGTGTAAATTCTGCCAGAGTTTAATACAAAATATTTCCTGAGCCAGGAAGATAGGCCAGTCTATGAAAGCTTGAATCAACATTTTGGTAGATTCATGTTACTGGTTTGCTTTTGTGTTACAATGCATCTGCTTTACTCATTTACCAATTCCCAATTTCGTTTTTCTAAATCCTTCTTGATCAGATTACATACAATTAAATTACTTCACTGAACAAATCATGTTCATAAATTTGTCTTATTGATTGTCCAGAACACAGTGCTTCAGGAACCCAGTGTTCTGCATGGCTCCTGTACAGCTCTGCAAGACAATAAGGTGATTTATTCTAATGGATGACCTATTTATGATGGAAAAACAAATCTAATTTCAATTACTGCTTTAATTAGGATGACTCATGAAGACTGGAACTTATGTTTTAGTATAGGTCAAAAAACAATGAAGAATAATTATTATTTATTATCAGCCTTCTTCTATTTGTTATTTATCAGTATAAATAATATATTTTACTTTTTTTGTTGACAATAAATTCTCAGAAGAAAAAGTATCTGTATACAGTTTTTTCTATTCTTTCACCAAAGCCTGCAAAAAGACATCAATATTATGACTGATAATACTACATGATGTAGCTATCTATAGTGAGCAACAATAAAAGAAAAAGGTAATCTGCTAAATCATGTTTCTGTATATTAGAAGGGCTTTCCACAGTCCAGTTTCCATTAAGATTTTTCACGGGAGTAAGGACCAAAGAAAGAAGAAGCAACAGGACCATTTCTAGTTGCACTAGGTGGAAGATTGTTGGAGAAGGAGAGAGCGGTTGTCCACTTTGCCATCTTTGCTTGTGTTTGATCTCCAGAAAAAACAGACTAGGACATGTGTGTCATCAGAAAGTGTTTGTGTTAGTAGGATACAGCAAGTGTCACCCCTAAAAGCTGTAATTATGTGCCCACTTCTTCCATTTCTGAAGAGGCAGTACATCCAGCTCCCCAAGAAATATCCATGACTGCCAGAAATCTTCAGCCAAAGTTCACTCTGATTCCCATCCATCTTTTTCTTTAAACTTCTAGCTCTATGGTAAATGAAACAAGGCTTTCACTGCTCAGAAAAGGCTTTTATAACCTCCTAGTGACTGACATATAATTCTAATTCTTGTTCTCTATACTGTTTTGGAGGGAAGAAATCTCTGGTCAAGTCTTTTTTTGTCCTCAGACTAGCTTCTTCTGTAGTGTAAGTCCTTGGGTAAAACACTCTAGGAAATTTGAATTCCCAAAGGAAACATACATTTATTGAAGGGTTGAAACATTAGGAACATTAAAAAAAAAAAAAAAAAAGGCACTTTACTTTCTCAAGTTCTTTCAGGTAAATAATCATAAATATGATTTGAACATGGTTCTTTACCTAACTTTCACCTTTCACTAACAACTATATGGTAAGACTAAACCTGTACTTCTGTACTGCTAAATATTAAAAGATACTTACATGGAACATACATCTGAGTCTAAGTCAGAAATTGCATATGATTGCACCATAGTCAGAGCTATGAGTAGGAATATTCCAGTTCCATGAATCCAACTCTATGAGTTTGTAGTACATCAGGTAATGAACAAGTACCAAATATACATTTGAGGTATATTAAGAAATTAGTTTTCTCAAAGGATGATGTTTATAAAACGGTCTGAGTTTAGGAAAGCTGGTCTTTTTATTTTGTTGATTTAATTATTTTTGTTTGGTGGTTGTTTGTTGGCTTTATATATATATATATATATATATATATATATATATATATTCAGGTTTTGGTTTTAGATAAGAATGAAAGCAAAAGACTGAAACAGCATTAAAAAACTAATTTTCACTGTATTTCTGGTATTTAGCAAATTATTTTGTAGACTTTCACAGTTTCTGCTCTAGGAGCATGAATAGATTGGGTTACCTAATTTTCAATTTAAATTTTCTCAAACCTTCTTTGAAGACCTGTCAAAGTAAATGGGAGTCTGTCTAATAATTTCAATAAGAAAAATTCTTAATTATTCCAGGAAGATTAGCATTTGACAGAAACTATCAAAAGAGTGGAATTAGTTATAAATAAAAATTGATTAATTAATTAATTAAAAGTATCACTACTTTCATGCAGGCATGCATAATATAAGATATAAGAATGTATACAACAACTTACAGCAAGACTTTTATATGTATATATATATTTTCAATATACAGCTCAATAACTATGGCTGAACCAAATTTAGTAATTTCATTACCATTTTGGTTTCAATGTCACCAAGTTTTTTTAATAGGCACTCATTTCCTGTTACTGTATTAACAGATTTCTATTAGCTTTCCATCCATGTGCCAGTGAATCCCAGGGATCTTTCATGTCTGAGATCCAAAGTGACTGCACTGAATTCTATCCAGTACCTGTAGAGAATAAGAACACTCACCATGAGTATAAAATAATAGCAGAAATAAAATGGTACTGACATTTATTTAGAAAAACAAAGAAACAAACAAACAAAAAAACACCACACAACTAAACAAAAACATAGATGTCTGGACTCAAATTGCAATTTAACTGCAGTTTGTTTTGCAATGAACATGACATCCAGTGGAGTAGCTCATAACTGTGATATTGTATATTGTTTTAGATGTGGGAAGTTTCATTTGATGTCACCGGGAGAGCTGCACTAGTTCAAATGTACTTAAAGAATGAATGTGAGCTTCTAAAATTAGTTTTCTCTATGGGGAAGTCATTTTCGAATAGATGTCTCTGCATTATCAGAGACTTCCAATGTACTTGGACAGTACCCTCAATATATCTGTGTGAAATTAGGACTATGAGTGTGCCTGTCTTGCTGGCCATAACTATTACAAATCTATGGTAAATAATTAGCATGAATGGCCAGCAGGAATCAAGCTATAGGTAGTTTGGTAATCAGTTAAGACTTTCTGTGCCAAATAAATATATCTGGCTTAGCATACTGGAATCTATTATCTTCTCATCAACTTTGAAATTCTATTCAACCTTTGGTCAGGTAGAGATTTATTTCTAAACCTTGTAGAATATTATTTGCTGAACAGCCTCAATATTTGCTGATCTCCAAATGACCGATTCATTGTAAGTACTTAGCTGATAATGACGCATTTTGCGTTTGTGTTGAGACACTCTCCCTCTTATTTCTGGCCCTGCTGTTGTCTGGACACAGATTTGTCTTATTTTAGAAACCTTCCTTTGATATTTTTGATCTTTTAAGAAATGTCTTAACATACACTTTCTTCTTCTTTTTTTTTTATTTATTTTTTATTTTTATTTTTTAGTAAATTTTTCAGAAATACAACGTCCTCAAATCAGTTCCCAAGGACTGTGTTGTAACTAATGTACTTTGCTTTTGCTTTGATGCTTTCCCACAGTTTTGAAAGAAATCAACAGTTTACTATGCTGAGTTCAGGGGGAATTGGAATAGGTCTTCAATTACCCACTGATACCTTCCTCTGATTTTGGCACATAAAAAAAATTAAATTAAAAAAAAAAAAAAAGACTTGGTAGACACATATGTGTTTCCACAGAGTAAAAAACAAAATTCCTATCTATTCCAGAGGGATCTGGACTTGGCTCAGGTCATTGCTAAAAGCTGAAGTTCAGCATAAACACAAATGCAGCAGTACAAGAGATAACAGAGCATAATTTTAAAGTGTTTAACTATCTGACCCTCTACAGACAGTTAAAATGAAATCTTTTCCTCCACTTTAGGCAGGACTGATTATTGTCAAGTACAGTTATCATAGTCTATGTTCCTGACATCTCCAGTGTAGCTGTGTACAGTGCCTCTTACACAGTTACTTAAATACTGAAGAAATGAAAGTGCAACAAACATACATAGCTAGACTCTTTGGGGCCCTGTTCAGCATTTCTCACTACTTAAGCGTAGGAACAGTTTTACAGGTTGTATTTAGGTTAGAAATCACTTAATTTTTCAAGTGTTAATAGCCATCACTTCTACATAAGAGAAATGGAGCACTAGCTCTACTGCCAAAAGAATAATTTCCAATTATTTTTTATTTTTTCTTCCTTCTTGATGCTGCCTGTTTGCCTGTAGTTTGGCACTGTAACCAGGAAAAAAATATGTTTAGCCTCATACAAGTAAAATACAGATTTTAAATTGAAAGACATTTATTGCAGTGCATTAAATTGTGAAATTAATATGAAATAAGAGAAAAACAAAACAAAACAACAATAACACAAACAAACAAACAAAAACATTGGCCTGTCTTAAAGGCTACAGTCTGCCTGTAATGTTCTTAAATGGGCCAGTTTCTCTTAGAGTAGGAACTTCGTATTTTGTTTTTCTTTCAACCAGTTGATGGACATATATTTCTCACTGTGTTCAAAACTTTCATTCTAAACCACTGTTCATGAGTGTCTACTACAGAGATGTCTGATGAGCAGTTAATTATGTTATGTCTTCATCAAATCATAATTTTATCAACATGTGATTGGGCTGAGGTGATAACTAATTGAAACTGTTCTGGGTGCCACAATAGAAGAAGGACTTAAAACTATTATAGAGCATCCAAAGGAGAGCTACAAAGATGGTGAAGGGTCTAGAGAGGAAGACACATGAGAAACACTTGAGGCCCCTCGGTTTGTTCAGCTCGGAGTAGAACAGGCTCAGGGGAGTCCTCATGGTGGCCTGCAGCTTCCTCACAAGGGGAGCAGAGGGGCAGTCGCTGAGCTCTGCTCTCTGGTTACAGCGACAGGACCTGAGGGAACAGCATGGAGCTGGGACAGAGGAGGGTCAGGCTGGGTGTTAGGGTGAAAGAGTGGTTGTCAGGCACTGGAACAGGCTCCTCAAGACACTGGTCATGGCACTGCTGGAGTTCAAGAAGTGTTTGGACAATGGTCTCAGACGTATGGTCTGAATTTTGGGTGGTCCTGTGAGGAGCTAGGAGTTGGACCTTAGAGCTTTGTCTTCCAACTCAGGATAGTCTATGATTCTACGAAACTGAAGTTTTGGGCAGTATTCCTCATTTCCTCATGCATGTGTTACCCATTTTGATGCTTACACTAGAAATGTAAACAGAAGATGGGCAAGGTGATGAATACAATTTGTTTGGAATCACTTAAGGGGGAAGAAAAAAGAACTTGTAGAAATACAGATTGTGCTTTATTTGTGTAGCCAGAATTAGTTCCTTACAGAATCTCCCTAAATTCTCACAGATGTAGGTTCTGTTATGTAGGTATGCTAATTGTACTGCTCAAACAATGTGGGTGTTGGATTGAAGGCAGGATGAATCTCCTCCATTTGGGTTGCTATGCTGCTGGAGAGAAGACAGAGTGAAGTATCTGCCCTCCAGTGATCACCTGGACCTAAAATCTGGAATAGAAAATGTTATTGGTTCTCCTTATTTTTCTGTTCATTTTACACTCATGCTTATGAGGAAATATATATGGTCTCTAACAAAAAGGCTTCTTAACTATTTACATGATTTTATCTCATTTTAATTGTTTCATATCATCCCAAGAAATTGATTTCAACCAGAACAAGCAACATTGTTCAATATGTGAAATTGTTGTGATCAGCACCAGGTTATCCTCCTACATATTTCAGCCACATTTTTTCCTCTGCAAATTTTCCATTAATTTATATTATTTTTTCCTTGTTTTACGTGTTTTGTTTGTTTGTTTGTTTGTTTGTTCAGTGTTTTCTTATTCTTTGCTGGACTTTATTTCTACTGTGGTTTCATGAACTCAGTTATTTTTTGAGCACGAACTATTTCTTAGTACTCTAAGTTGCTGCATATATCTATTACAACTGAAAATGTTTACAAATCATTATAGCCGCAGTCACCAAAGTTAATAACTTGACTTAAAAATCATAGTTTCTGACATAGGTACACTTGTGTTCCTTTAAGTTACCTCTTGGTTTCTTAAACTGTAACAATAAGTTTAGATTATATTTCCCAGGTTTTCTTTCCTATACTAAATTTAGTTTCAATTTCCTTATATTCAGATAAGTCTATCTAGCATTTTAATACTTTACACACACACCCATGAAATTAGAGCTATTAATGCATGGTCAGAATTTTGATTTGCAGACAAAATACTTTTCCCCTGTTCACTTGTCAGGATCCTTTCTTTAAAAATGACAACTGCAGTTCTTTTCCTCTTACCTTCAGGTCATGTTTTGTAGGTGTTTCCTGTAGCACTCATCTGAACTCTCTTTGAGTCTTATTTTTGAATGCACTTTCCAATACTGGACATAAATTTCCGCTGAAGTTCCTTTAATGCTTTATTAAAGAAAAAAAAAAAAAAGAATACTTACGGGTCTTACTTTTGTTTACACATACCTATTGATTTTTGCCCATTGCTGCACCAGTATAATTGTTTTTATTCAGTTTGTGGTCTATTATATCACTACACTATTTAATACAAAAAAATTTGACTTCCTTGTTCTAAATCTGTGCTAATGACTTTTCACATAAATTTATAAAATTGTAGTATTCTTCACAGAAGCTCATTGTATTTCTTCTTTTCAGAACACTTCTCCTTAAAGCCTCTCCAATTCAGCACATTAACATGACACCAAAGACTTTTAAATGAATGTCTTCTGTAATTTAAATGAGCAGACCTTTTATTCTTTCTTGTCATTAGTGAAAACAGAGAAGTATCCAATCCAGTTATGACCCCAGAGGTCTATAAACATCAACAATTTGTCATTAGGCATTAAGTACAATCTACTAGCTGTTTTTGCCTGTATGTGACAGTAGATACACATGCACAAATTTTGAGAAGGTCACACAGAACATTTAAAAAACCTTCCTCTGGCTGAGATACATAATAACTACTGTTCCTTTGTCTACTTAAATTGTCATTTTATAATGAAAAAAAGAAAAAATCCTTATTCTTAGAATCATAGAATCACAGAATGGTTTGGGTTAGAAGGGACCTTAAAGATCATCTAACTCCAATACCTCTGCCATGGAGAGGGACACCTCCCACTAGATCAAGTTGCTCAAAGCCCCATCCAGCCTACCCTTGAATGCTTCCAGGGATGGGGCATCTACAATATCTCTGGGATGCCTGTGATAGTGCCTCACTACCTTCATAGTAAAGAAATTCCTCCTTATATCTAATCTAAATCTACCCTCTTTTAGTTTAAAGTCTTTATCTCTTGTGTCCTATCACTGCACTCCTTGACAAAGAATTCCTCCCCAGCTTTTCTCTAGGCTCCTTCAAGGTACTGGAAGGCCTCTTTGAGTCTTCCCAGAGCTTTCTCTTCTCCAGGCTTAAAAATCCAACTCTCTCAGCCTGTCTTTGTAGGAGAGGTGCTCCAGACCCATTATCATCTCTGTGGCTCTCCTCTGCACTTGTTCTAATAGGTCCATGTCCTTCTTGTGCTAGGGTCTCCAGAGCTAAACACAGCACTCCAGGTGGGGTCTCACAAAAGCAGTGTAGAGGGGAGAATCACCTCCCTTGACCTGCTGGCCATGTTGCTGTTGTTGCAGCCCAGGATATGGTTGGCTTTCTTTGCTGCAAGTGCTTATTGCTGGTTCATGTTAAGATTTTCTTTTACTGGATCCAGGGGCAAACATAACTGCTGAGAATAAGGAAAAGGCTGAGGATCTTAATGCCTTCTTTACATCTGTCTTTACTAGTCAGACTACTTATCCTCAGAGTACTCAGCCTCCCAAACTGAAAGTCTGGGATGGGGAGAAGAAACCTCCCACAGTTCAGGTGGAAACAGTTGGAGACCTGCTGCTCCACCTGGACTGTCACAAGTCCATGGGGCCAGATGGGATCCACCCAAAGGTGCTGAGGAAATTGGAAAATGTGATTGCTGTGTTGTTTTCCATCATCTATCAGTGGTCACGGTCATCCAGAAAGGTCCTGGATGACTAGAGATCTGCTAATATGATGCCCATCTATAAGAAGGGTCATAAGGAGGACCTGGTGGACTACAGGCCTGTCAGCCTGACCTTGGTGCCAGGAAAAGTGATGGAACAGGTCATCTTGAATGCAATCAAACAGCATATGTGGGACAACCTTGGACCAGGCCCAGTCAGCACAGGTCCATGAAAGGCAAATCCTCCTGCCTGACCAACCTCATCTCCTTTGATGACTGGGTGACCCATCTGGTGGATGAGGGAAAGGCTGTTGATGTAGTCTACCTACACTTCAGTAAAGCCAGGTGGGCCCAGAGAGTGGTGGTGAATGGAGGGAAATCCAGGTGGCGACCAGTCACCAGTGGTGTTCCCCAGGGGTTGGTGTTGGGGCCCATCCTCTTTAATAGCGTTGATGATTTGGATGAGGGAATTCAGTGTACCCTCAGTAACTTAGCAGATGACACCAAGCAGGGGAAAAGTGTCGATCTTCCAGAGGGTAGAGGGAAGTTCCCTCTGCAGAGGGAACTAGGTTGGATCAATGGGCAGAGGCCAATGGGATAAGGTTCAACATGGCTAAGTGCCAAGTCCTGCACTTTGATCACAACAACCTCATGCAGCACAACGGGCTTGGGGAAGAGTGGCTGGAAAGCTGTGCAGAGGAAAAGGATCTGGGGGTTTTGGTCAATGTACTCACCTGAACATGGTCTGGCAGTGTGCCCAGGTGGTCAAGAAGACCACAAACATCCTGGCTTGTATCAGGAATAGTGTAGCCAGCAGGACCAAGGTGGTGATTGTCCCCCTGTATTCTGCTCCTGTGAGGCTGCACCTCGAGTACTGTGCTCAGTTTTGGACCCCACACTACAAGAAGGACATCGAGGTCCTAGAACATGTCCAGAGGCAGGCTACAAAGCTGGTGAAGGGCCTGGAACACAAGTCCTGTGAGAAGCGGCTGCAGGAACTGGGGTTGTTTAGTCTGGAGAAGAGGAGGCTCAGGGAAGACCTTATTGTTCTGTACAACTACCTGAAAGAAAGGTTTGGGAAGCTGGGGGTCAGCCTCTTCTCGCAGATAACTGGTGATGGGACTAGAGGGAACGGCCTCAAGTTGCACCAGAGGACATTTAGGTTGGAAATTATGAGACATTTCTCCTCAGAAAGAGTAGTCAGGCATTGGAATGGGTTTAGGGACGTGGTTTAGTGGGTGACATTGGTAGTAGGGGGATGGTTGGACCAGATGACCTTGGAGGACTTTTCTAACCTTATTGATTCTATGATTCTTGTCAACCAATACCCCCAGGTCCTTCTCCTCAGGGCTGCTCTTAAACCATTCTCTGTCCAGCTTGTATTTGTACTTGGGATTGCCCCAACCCATATGCAGGACCTTGCACTTGGCTTTGTTGAACCTCGTGGGGTTTGCAGAGACCCACATCTCAAGCCTGTGCAGGTACCTCTGGATGGCATTCCTTCCCTCCAGAATGTTGACTGCACCATACAGCTTGGTGTCATTGGCAGACTTGCTGAGGGTGCACTTCATTTCACTTTCCATTTCACTGATAAAGATATTAAACATCCAGTTGCAGTATAAAGAAATACAAATCTTGCAAAGGTTTGTGTAATTTTACCTAGTATTTTTGTGTAACTAAAAAAATATTGAGTTGCCTATAGCTTCACAGCTCCTCCTCTTCCTTTCTTATGGTTATATGTTACAACCTCAGTCAAAAAGCTTCATTCATTTATCTTTGACACTTTAAGAATCTTGACAAATTAAGCACCCTTCCTAAAGATAGACAACACATATTTTTTTAATTGAATAATAAATAATTCTAGACAATTAGCTAGTTTAGATATTTGAGTTAGATGCTTAAAGTCAAGCAGCAAAAAATACATTTATTTATTGATGATGTTTCAAAAGACTTATCCATTCCAGATATTATCCATCCTCCATGCATTTTCAAAATATAGCCAATAATGTTTTAGAGGTTGTTTAGGTTGCTTCTCTAATGAATCCAGAGTGAGTTTCACCAGGTTCAGTTGATCTGAAGATATCTAGGTCTTCTTCTATCTATATTTTAATACCTCTCATATTTTATTATGTTAAATATTATGTTAAATTTTACTGGAACTTCATGTAAAAGTGACATTAAGCAATCCAATGACAGCTTTCTTTACTGAGCAGTAAACCAGGTCTTCTGTCATTTCATAACAATATGCTCATTCTTTCTCATTATACTTTATAGACCTTTCTACTTATATACTATTTTGTGCTTTGAATTTCTCATTTTTGTCCCTAGAGGCCTTCTTCTGCAGTTATCTGAAGTTTTTTGACCTACATTTCTATACACTTCCTTCAATATTATTATTATATTATATATTAATATAATATTATTAACAATATAATTTTATTCAGGAATTGCCTGAATTATAATAATACTAAAATGCCACCAACAAAGTATGGAATGGAATGAAAAGTCATGGATGTGATTTTGATTGTAGCAATGTGTACCCTTACAGAAGGATAGAGAAATTACAGAGAAAAAAAAAAAAAAAGTATAGCAAAATTTCAAAGCCTCGAGCATTCAGTTAAGAAAGGCTGCTTCCAGGCAAACTTCTCACCAGGAGTGGCTCATGTATATACTTCATAAATATTTCATTCCTGTTGTTCTGTCTGTTCAATCCATCCCTTGCTAATGAAACAGTTGTTTTTGAAAGCTTGTCTATTTATATCCAGCTATTTCTCATGCACAAGCAGACTGCTTAATATATAGAGATAAAAGAGACATAAATATAGATGTACATTGATCTTATTTTGACTGCAGTTACACTTGGTATTACTGGAGTAACTCTAAATCTAAAGATACATTAGTATCAAGCCAATGCATTTGCAATCAGTTTTAGATGCGTACTGTTACGATGCTGAAGTGTTTGTCCATCATGCTGAATATCCTTATAAATAGAGCATTAGGAACACAATATGCAATCTGGTAAAGAACAGTCATTAATAACATCTATTATACTTTACTGAAAAAGTTATTTTGGCATAATGTTTTGGTATTGCTTCAGGATTTTAACGTCTATGTCCTTTAAAGAAGCTCAGGTGCTTAAAGCTACTGTCATTTTTCTTAAGCTGTTTCTCTACATAAGACTTCAGACATAAAACATTATGATGTCCTAGGTTTTATCTAATCTTTTGTTCTTCTTATATTACATGATCAAAGACACTATGATACTGATTATGGGAGTAACTTGAGCTCTGTTTTATTTCACTCAAGTACAGAAAATGTCTTTTAAACTGTGCCTGGTTTCAAAATCTAAGGAAAGGTGAGGTCAGTGCTTCTAAACTACCTTGATTTAAAAAAAAAAAAAAAAGAAAAAAAAAAACAGAAAAAGAGAGAATTCTTCCCAAATGGCATGAAATTATAATCTGGACCTTAACATTCCAATTAACACAGAAGTGCAAGAGCTAAGTCTCCTCTCAGAAATTTATGTCTGGAGACCGTGTTAGACACATTTTCAAGACGGTATAAATCTACCCATCTGTCTAAAATCTTAATCTCTATGGCAATAGACATTTCCCAGACATTTGCAATTCTTTGGCTTGTGTAAAGTAGAAAATCAGATCATAGTAGACTCTCTTAACCTTAAAATTTATTAAAGTAGTTTTAAAATTAGAAATAATAGCAGTAAAGATTAGGTCAGACCTTTTCCATGAAATAGAATCATAATACAACACTGAAAAGAAATAAAACCAAGTAAAACTTCTCAGAAGCTATGCAGACTGGTATAAATGATTCCAGGTGTAATCAACTGAAAGTGGTGGAAAGATGAGATTTGCATACTACTGTTATTTTATTTTCATGGGGAGAGGGGAAAGAGAATGGTTTATTTCAGTTCAAGTGGAAAAATAAAAGGAATTAGCAAAATGAAAATACCCATAATAGGGCCTAAAACTCAGAAAGGGATAGGTACCCAGACACCTCAAGACCACTTCAGAAACCTACTTGTAGCACTTAGGTCATTGATCCAAAAGACAGGGAGGTCTGAGTACTGGGCTGTACCTTCAAGATTGCTTTACATTATGTTGCATTTACAGTGAGTTATACATCAGAGTATCATGAAGTAAAAGTAGGAAAGGAAAAAAAAAAATATATATATATATATATATATATCAACAGCAACAAAACAACCCACAAAGACATGCCTAAAAGCTAGTCAAATTAACATTTCTTCTCTGGGAAAAAAAAAAAAAAAAAAAAAGGCCAAGCTGACAGGCCTGTAGTTCCTCAGGTCTTCCTTATGAACCTTCTTATAGATGTGTGTGTGTGTACATATATTTATATACTATCTATATATATAGTATATATATGGGCATCAATACATAGGCACCCTCAGGTGGATCCCATCTGGCTCTATGTCCAGGTGGAGCAGCAGGTTTCTAACTGTTTCAACCTGAACTACGTGGGCTTTCTTCTCCTCCCCATTCCAGACTTCCAGTTTGGGAGGCCGAGTACTCCAAGGATAAGCGGTCTGGCTAGTAAAGACAGATGCAAAGAAGGTATTAGAAACATCAACCTTTTCCTTATCCTCAGTAGTTATGTTCCCTTCTGTGTCTAGTAGTCTAGTAAAGGATGGAGATTGTCTCTGCCGTTCCTCTTGACATTAATATATTTATAAAACTGTAGTGGCCAGGCTGAGCTCATGCTGGGATTTAGCCTTCCTGATTTTTTCTCTGCATATACTGGCAACTTCTTTGTACTCTCCCCAAGTTGCCTGTCACTTCTTCCACCATACATAAACTCTTTTTTTCCTGGACACTCAGCAAAAGTTCCCTGTTCAGCCATGCCAGTCTTCTTCCTCAATGGGTCATCTTACAGCACACAGGGACAGCCTGCGCTTGTACTTTTAAGACTTCCTTCTTGAGGAGCACCCAGACTTCCTGGACCCCTCTGCTCTTCAGGACTGTCTCTGAAAGGACCCTCCCTACCAGTGTCCTGAACAGCTCAGTCTGCTCTCCAGAAGTCCAAGGTAGCAGTTTTACTGACAGTCCTCCTGCCTTCACCAAGAATAGAGAACTCTACCATTTTGTGGTCGTCCTGCCCAAGACAACTCCCAACCACATCACCTCCCAGCAGTCCTTCTCTGTTCATGAACAGCAGGCCTAGCGGGGCACCCCCTCTGATAGGCTCACTAACCAGCTGAGTCAGGAGGCTGTCCTCCACACGTTCCAGGAACTTCAGGAACCTCCTAGGCTGCCTCCTCAGGGCTTTATTGTATTTCGAGCATATGTCCAGGAAGTTGAAGTCCCTCATGAGAACAAGCACTAGTGATTGTGTGACTTCCACAATCTGCTTATAGAATACCTCATTTGTCTCTTCATCCTGGTTTGGCAGTCTAAAACAGACCCCCACCAGGATGTCCACCTTGTTGGCCACCTCCCTGATCCTTATATACAGGGACTCTACCTTATCATTCCCAACCTTGAGCTCAACAATATTGAAACACTCTCTAATATAGAGACCCACACCACTGCTTCTTTGTTGCCTGTCCTTCTGAAGAGCTTGTAGACATCCATTGCAGCACTCCAGTTGTGGGAGTGGTCCCACCACATTTCAGTGATGGCAACCAGGCCATAGTTTGCCTGCTGCACAATGGCTTCCAGATCCTCCTGTTTATTACCTATGCTGCATGTATTGGTGTAGATGCACTTCAGCTGTGCCATTGCCCTCACCCTCAACCTTGGGATTGCACCCCCAGGCTCATCTCCCTCAAGCCTCATTTCATCCCTATCTCCCCTAGTTCCTAGTTTAAAGCCCTTTTGATGAGCCCTGTCACCTCCTGGGCTTGAATCTGTTTCTCCCTTTGAAACAGGTGGGACCCATCTTTAGCCATCAGGCCAGGTGCTTAGTAAACCTCCCCATGATCAAAAACAAATGAACAAACAAATTCTCGTGATGGCACCAATCTCTCAACCATGTGTTGATGAACTGAGCTTTTCAGGTCCACTCAGTAACCCTCCCTGCCACTGAAGGTATAGAGGAAAACACCACCTGTGTTGCCGCTCCATTCATTAATTGCCCCAATCCCCCGAAGTATTCTTCTGATAGCCTTCAAGCTTCTCTCTCAGAGATTTTGTTGCTGGCAGCCTGAATTATCACTAAGGGGTAAAAACTTTCTGTATCACTAAGGGATAAAAACTAAGGGGTAAAAACTTTCCAAACTGAACTTCCCCTGGCACAACTTGAGGCCATTCTGTCTTGTCCTATTGCTAGTTATCTGTGAGAAGAGGCCTATCCCCAGCTCCCTACAACTTCATTTTCAGGTAGTTGCAGAAAGCAATAAGGTCTCCCTTGAGCCTCCTCTTCTCCAGACTACACAACCCCAGTTCCCTCAGCCACTCCTCATTGGACTTGTGTTCCAGGCCCTTCACCAACTTCGTAGCCCTTCTCTGGACACACTCCTTGATGTCCTTCTTGTAGTGTGGGGTCCAAAACTGAGCACAGTACTCGAGGTGCAGCCTCACAGGAACAGAATACAGGGGGACAATCACCACCTTGGTCCTGCTGGCTACACTATTCCTGATACAAGCCAGGATGTTTGTGGTCTTCTTGACCACCTGGGCACACTGCCAGATCATGTTCAGGTGAGTACATTGACCAAAACCCCCAGATCCTTTTCCTCTGCACAGCTTTCCAGCCACTCTTCCCCAAGCCCGTTGTGCTGCATGAGGTTGTTGTGATCAAAGTGCAGGACTTGGCACTTAGCCATGTTGAACCTTATCCCATTGGCCTCTGCCCATTGATCCAACCTTTCCAGGTCCCTCTGCAGGGCCTTTCTACTGTTTGGTATATCAACACTGCCCACCAACTCGGTGTTGTCTGTAAACTGGGGGTGCTTGATCCTGTATTTATTAGATTATCAGGGAGGAATAGGAGTTCAGACAGACTCTTCTACCTGTCATCTCTTCCCCAAGCCAGCACTTGGATTTATGTACAGGGTTTGCCTGACTCTTTACAAAAGTGCCTGTTTCTCTCTGAAGGATCTATGTGTGGTGTCCTTTGCCTAATTTTAGATGTAGTTTGTGAAGAGGTCTGACCTAATCTGTTTTTTTGGCACCCTCAATAGCCAGCTGAGGAGGAGATGCTGCCAGGTAGGTGGCACCTTTCCTAGTATCCTTCTTCAGCCAGGGTTATAAGGGTTATATACGGCTAGTAGGTAACTCTCCTCTGGGCTGGCCATTCCTCACTGAAGAACTCTTCTTAGACTAATTCCAGCCCAAAGTTACATAGTCTAACAGGAGCTCTCCAGCATATATATATATATATATTTTTTTTTATTTTTTTTTCTTTTTGGGGGGTGGGTGTAATATCTGAATTGGACAGTCCCATTAGGCACTCTGAATCTCACTTTATTTCTCACTTTATTTGTCCTTAACCCAATGACACAAGTTAAAATGTAAATAGTAACAATTTAGTGGCATATTCCTGATTTGTCAAATATTACTTAAAACTTAGATGAAAAACAAACAAACAAACAAAACACACACACATACACACACAAAAAAAAACCCAACAACTCTTATTAGATTTGTATTCATTGATTATCAACTCTTTTTATGCAGTCATTTAGCCCACTTGAATGCTAGATTTCTTACAGCGTGAATCGTTTATAAACCCAGGTTTGCTACAGCATCCCTTGACAATGTAATTAAACAACCCAAATTACTTTTTTCACGTTCTCAATATGTATGGCTGTAAATTCAAGTCCAGTAAGCAGACTTGCCTTTCACCTTGAGCACATACCCTTTATTTAACTACATATATTCCAGACTATATTTAAATGAAAACAAACAAACAAGTAACTTTGTTCCTTAAGAGCTGCTTTGTATTCATGGTCTATGCAAGGTAAACCATACAGGAAAAAAGTGTATGCTTTCACCTTCTTGTGAACCCTTCAGAAAACAGTAACACAATCATTTATTTATAAAGCCAGATAATTTTTCTTCATGGGACCTCAGAGTTTGAATATGTTGTGCTGCAGTTAAGAGCAAAAATAATTATGTTATTAATAGTAATTATATTTAGCTCAGGTTAGCTAAACATTTTTTTTTCTTTTTTACTTTTGAGTATGAATGGGAATGAAAGAGTTACTATATATGGCATTTCTTTGTTATTTGTTATACAAAACAAAATATGACAAAGTCAAAAGAATTATTTACCTTCATGCCCATGGGATCAGGGTCACAAAACCAACAAAACAGCGTGGTCCAGATCTAAAAAGTTGCTTAGGAGAATAGAACTGCTTTTAATGTCTAAATGCCTTGAATACCTAAATTTCTGAAAGGATTTGAGACACTAAAATAGAAGCTTTATATCTGCATAGTTGTAGTGACCTAACTCTGACTTCCCTGTGACTATCATCAGTCACTACTGATATAATTCATATATACTCTTATAGGAAGCAGCAAATAATTTTATTTTATGTAAATTTATAAGGGATATGAGAATATCATCCTCCATCTTAAGAAAACAAGAAACTTAAAGAGAAAAATGTGGATATTACTACTACTATTGCCAATGCATTTGTAACTTAGCTTTGGTAGAGGCTGCAATAATGCTGTGGGTGTTTAAACGCTTGTTTGCCATCTTTTATTTTTACATTCCAAGCCTCTTCAGGTTGAGTAAGGGCACGATACGTTTCCTATTTGGACACTTCTTTTAAAAGGAGTGTTGAAGAAATTGCCTGTAATCTGAGTGGTTAAATCAATACATGGTTCATGTCAAAGGATCCTACTTGGAAAGCAACTCTTGATTCTAGCAAAAGGAGTATCAGAAGTGTTTGAATCCCTCCCAAATCTGCAGTAAATAATTCATGGTTATTAGAGCATTCATTCTTTCCTTGTCCATTGTTGTGCAATGTGTTGAAACTTGTCCCAAATATAAAACCTTAACATAAGCAAAAAGCAGACAAAGTAACAGAAAATAGAGTGCAATTGCTTGAGGACACAATTGGATTCAAATTTTGATTATAGATCACCATCTCACAGTAGTGTTAGAATCACATTTCACACAGGCATTGGCTCAATGGGGCTGTCAATTTTAAAGTAATACAAAGAGTATTATTAAGGCTAGCAATCGGACACCTGCCAAAAAGATATTTGGAAAGTGAAATCACTTCTGAGACATTATGGGAAAGCTTTGAAAACAACATGAAAGACAGTAACACTGATTCTTAATTTTTAACTACTGGTATCTAAAGAGATAATGACTAGCTTGCAAAATTGGATGGCTTACCGAGAAGGAGGAATCTTCCAAGATTTCCAAGTAATTAAACTATGGAATATTTATAGCCTTAGCCAGTGTCAGCTGAGGTTTCTTGAAACAACTTTTAATTAAAACTCGGGTTTTAACATTAAAAATTGAGTACATTCTTTTCACAGCATTTTAATTACAGTAGAATGGGACACATTGCAGTGCAGATGACAAAGATAATCAGACCCTTACCTGTCCAGTATGTGATGGCCAATGCAGATGCTTCAATAACTTTTCAAATTGTTTATTCATGTGATACATGGAACTACATCTTCCTAAGGTTTATTTCTTCAAACAAAGAAGTCTGTATTCCTCCACTAGCTTTCTGGTCATCTTCACTAAATATGGTATTAATAACTGGTGAGTCATCTGTGTGGATGAACAAATGCAGGGGAGAGAAAAGGGAAGAGAAATAAAGCCACTGAACTTCATTCAGGTTCCTTTTCCAGTCTTTCACTTCTTCTTTTCTGTGCCCATAATAGTGCTGATATTGATGCATAGAGTTGTAAGACATTTGACTATGTGAATAAAGTTTCCTAACTATGTGATCACATACCCCAGAATCTCACAAAATAAAATAATAATAGTAATATCATCTAAAATTATTTTTGTATTTACATTGACAATTCTGACTGTTTATCATTGAAATGAAATGTAAAAAGGACAAGGTAGAGATGAGAATATGTATATTGTTCATTCAGTCTCAGGAAGTACAAATTTAGATGTGTCTTTTGTCAGCAAAAACTTAAAAAATAGGATGCATCGTAACAACTCACAATGGGCATGGTGGAGCTCATGGAAGATTCAAATAGATATATTCCTGAAGCTTGTCCAGAATTCAGGATGTATTAGGCCAGAGTTATTAGATCAGAATACCCACAGCTAAATTTAAGGGCCTGAGGTCCCTGGTTTAGAACAAAGATAATATCTGCCCATCAAGGTGAAACCACCATAGTGCTAGGTAAACTAAGCCATTTGTTGCGATTGCTTATGAGGATCTTCAAACAGGAATGTTAGCTCAGGTGAGACATACACTGTTGTAACAAATTTCCCAGTTTTCTTGTCTTATCATTCTTATGTTTGCATCATGGAAGAATAGAAGTTTGTGTCTCGGCAAGAACTGCTTTGCTCTCCAGATCTGCTTTTGCCATGGTATGCTGGTTGCAGTATATCAACTCTCTTTCTTCAGGACCTTAAAAAGTAAGGCAAGACACTTTTCCAATTAGAAATAAAGGAAATAAAGGGACTAGTTCCCCAACTTAAGGTTTTCAGTGAAGTAAGCTAAACTACTCGTGGTTCGTATGCCATATTTGAAGAAATCTGCAGAGTGATTTAGTGGCTATTTGCCCAAATCAGAAAGGCCTTTGACTGAGTCTGGAAGCCAGTTTCTATTGATTGATTCATTAAATTAGATTGGGATTGAATTCTGAACACAAAGCCTATTCTGGAAACTACTCCACATAACTTATGTTACTGAGCCACTTCAAATATGTTTGGATTGCCTGCTGAAACTAAATATTGCTGCTACAGTACTAATAAGAACCAATTTCAGACCACTACCTTCACAGAGGAACTATAAAACAAGAAACAGATCTCACCTTTGTTACTCTTTTCATAGGCCCAATTACTCTGCTGCAAACTGGTATTTTTCTTAGACTGCTCATAAACAACAACAACAATAATAATAATATCTGTGTTTCTTTATCATTTGTTTAAATGTCTTCTTCTGGACCAATATACTAGCAATTCTGATATATTATTAAAATCAAATATTAGATTTATTTTCATGTAGTTTTGTTCTCTTTGAAATGCATAACCCTTTTAATAATATATTATGTGCTTAGGCCTTATTTGTGCAGTAAGACTCATGAAAATGACACCTTTGGAGCATATACAGGTACAAATGTATTTCACTGCCATCCTGAAAATAAATATAACCCAGACTTCTTCTGAAGAAACTCTTTAATTATGCATTGCATTCTATCTCTTTATTTGTTTAAACATTCGTAGTTTTTGCAGTGCTGACATTGAAACAGCCGTTTTTGTTTCCTTGTCCTGAAGGAACTGATAATTCCAAAACACTTGGGAGATTTATGAACTGAAGCAGATATGTTTTCTAAGTATCCTTCGAGGACCACACCTGTTTATTAGCATGCTTTTTTGACTTTTTAAAAATTAAGAACAAAACAATGTTTTCTCATCCATCTACTAAGACAGAAATTGTATTTTCATCATCTCTTGTAATACTTTTTATGTCATATCCTTTTTATTGATCATAGACTGGAATTGCAGGGGAGGTTTCTTAGAAAGATTTATGAAATATTCAAATATGATATCATAATCTCTTATAAAAAAATAATAAACTGTTCCCTTTCTTTGATTTACATGTACATTGATTTTAATGTATGTATACTACTATTTCTGGGCTCAATCCTCAGATGATAAAAAGCAGTCAATCAGCCAGAGCTATGCAATGGAAACAAAGTAATAGTATTTTTTATGTACTGATGAACCAATTCCATTTTCCACTATTCTGAGAGTTTTGTATCATGTGCTTACTTATTTCACTTGCTAACCAAAATCTGTCATCCCCTCCATTAGATTCATTGACTTGGAGCTCTGAAGCTTTATTGTTGTGATCTGTGAACTGCATTGAACAGAGGTGTTCTTATGGTTAACAAAATCAGTTGATTATCCTGATCTCCATCCTTTACTGGATGCGGGGGGAAACATGACTACCGAGGATAAGGAAAAGCCTGATGTTCTTAATGCCTTCTTTACATCTATCTTTACTAGTCAGACCACTTATTCTCAGAGTACTCAGCCTCCTGAACTGGGAGGGCATCTTGACCTGGGGGTGGGAAGTCCACTGTTCAGGTGGAAACAGTTGGAGACCTGCTACTCTACCTGAACTGTCACAAGTCCATGGGGCCAGATGGGTTGGGGCACCTGAGGGTGCTGGGTGAATTGGTGGATGCGATTGCTGGGCTGCCTTATCTTTTTGAAGACAGAATTTTTCCACTTAGTTAATATTCTGTTCTCAGGGTAACATTGTTAAGAACCCTAGTAACAGGTTACTGTCCAGATTTACCCTGGAAACTTGGAATCTCCTATTCTTTCCCTTAATTGCCATTTTTGTCACTGTCAGGTGTACACTTACACTACACATTTGTTTTCCACAGCTTTAAAGCTCTTTATTTTAAGCTCTTTAAATATATGAAATAATTGCTAGGACAATGCAAGAAATTAGTACAGGGTACATTGCTTTTTATAGCAAAATTTTCAGAATGGTGCAAATTCTTTTAAGATTGATTATAAGAACACTTTCAAAAGCAGCAAGAATAGGTAGTTATCCACTCCTCACTGAAAATTAACAGGGCTTTATTACACAAGTCTACTTTTTACTGTAAGGAACTTCAACAGTGTCACTTTTTGCAGTTTTCCCCCTGTTTGTCAGTTATAAATTTCAGTTACTGTGTTAATTTTTTTTTCTAACCTTGCTTCTAGAATAATCTCATCATTGAAATTCTATTTACATAAAAACAAATATTTTTTATCCCATTGAAGCCTTTTACTGAAGGCAAAAGGAAAGGGGGAGAGAGAGAGAAAGAGAGAACAAAAAATACAACAACAAATCAAATCAATAAAATAACAAAATATTATTTTTTTCATAATGATTTAGCTTAAGTAATAAAGGTGATTTGGGGAGAGTGTTCAGGTTTTCTGAATTCTCATGCTTGATCATAACTTTTTTTTTCTTTAAGCATTCAAAACTATTTATTTTAATTTGTATGCAGCTTCAAGATAGCCAAAACAAGATTATATGAGTGGATACAGCATAAGAGGCAGAACACTCACAGATCAGCTCATGTGATTGTCCTTGTTAATATAGCCTTGCAAACCTCTTGGACATTTGGAAGACTGCCATTGTGGTTGTTTTCTCCTGATGCAGTGCCATAAGTAGTTTATTCTGGGTATCTGTCACACTATCTCTTTCATCTGTCTTGCAATACCTGTAATAGAGATCAGTATGTACATGTTATTGCTTTTGACAGTCTTTATTCTTTTAAATTACTTCAGTGGTCTTCTAGCTCATCCCTAGCATGTCTGTTTCCTGTTTCCCATCAGCATGCTATGTCAAAATATCTATCAGGACTATCACTACTCAGAAAGAAAGACATTGCAAATGTAAAAATCCTCATCTGCTACTTATGTATGTTTGTTTTCCAACATCACGCAAAACTGTCTCCTTAGCAGAAGTTCCATCAGGTCAGAAGTTGGTGCCTGAAAGAAGGAGCTATGAATACTGTAATTCAATGCTTCTCCCAAATATGATCAATGATTTAAAACAAACAAACAAACCTCTTCCTGCTTTTAGAACACTCTAAATACACTTTTGACAATTGTAAAGAGTGTTGTTGGATATCATTTTCCCTAGCTGTAAGCCATTTTGAATAGATAAGTAAGCATCTGAATATTCTTTTTCTGAAATTTTGAACATTACTTTTCCAAATCCTATACAAATGATTGTTCACGCAGTCATTCTCACTGTCACTCTTTAATTTGTTGGCAATATTGAAATGTTTTCATTATGTAATTTTTTCTTCTATGTAGTGATTTCTAGGCTAAAAAGTTTTCATAATAAAACATTTCCATATGAAATTAATAAAAACTTCTTTCTTATGTAGAATTCAATAGACCTACATGTCTTATATTAGGAAAATCCTAACTTGTTTAATCTAAGCAAACATGCTCAAAATTAACTGCAGACTCAGTTGAGTAAATCCTTGCAATAATTGCTAAGATTTTCAAATCATATTTTGATCCCATGCAAGTTCATGAAATAGAAAATGCTACAATTTAATTAGGACATTCTTGTAGTTTTAAAGAGACTTTGTACTGTTATGTAAATATCAATGGATCAAATTGTATTTATTTCTTATTCAAATCAGGGAAGTCTAGACTCTAGAACATTTGGATAAAACATACTTATTTTTTTCCCTGTAGAAAACTCATTTTCCATTTTGATTTTTTCCTGCAGTACTTTAGCTTGCCTGTGTGTAAAGAGGAAAATGAAGCTCACATCTAATTTTTCCATTCTTCTGTTTGGACTGAGTTAATGTGTGTTAAAGACCATGTCTCCTGGTGCTGATGAATCCTTTGTTTACCACGTTATAGCGTGGTAAAGGAGAATATCCATGCTGAAGAACAGAGTGAGTTAAGCAATGAAATCTGCAGAAGAGCTGTACATATCAGGATTACATGTTTTGGTTCTTTATTTGGGAAACCAATATTTTTTGTTTTGTTTTGTTTCTTTACAAAGACTTAACTAGGTGTGGTGGACATCTAATGAATCTCAAT